AGAGGCAGGCAGATCTCTGTGAGTTTAAGGCCAGCCTGGTCTACATAGTGAGTTCCAGGACAGCTGGGGCTACAGGGAGACCCTGTCTCAAAAAGACCAAAAAAAAAAATCACTTAAAAATTATACAAATACATTGCTAGTCTCTTTATTAAATGAAGGTTGCATAAATCACTTTCTTGGTGCTATACAAAATATATAGATAAAATAAATTGGAAATTGTGTTTAAAGAAAGACGTAGTAAAATGCTTATAAAAATTTAAAAGCAACACATAGAAATGTATTAATAAAGAGCTCCATTTCATATAACATTCACATATACACACAGAAATACATAGAAAAGTTGGCTAAGAAACATTCTAAAGTATTATCAGTTATTTAAAATTATTTCTCATTATAGAATAAGGCGACTAAATTTTTCTGCATGGTATTCATATTTTCCACTATCTTACCATGTACAAAAATTATATAATTGAAGAAACTCAATTTTAAAAAAATTTTAAAGGAGCAAAATGTAAAGAAATCTCACCTCATAGAACCAAGAGGCCAGATCTGTGGTTTGCTTCTGTTACAGCTGTATCCTAGGATCTAATAAGTGTTATTTAATATTGTATGTGCCTTACCATGCTATGAAAATAAAACTTACTTAAAACTTCATATTTTTTCCTAAGAATAATTAATCTAAAAAACATGATTTTATATTTATTGTAACAACATTTCTACTTTGAAAAACAATATAGTTTATATATTTACATATTAGAAAGGGATCCCAAAATATGCACATATCTGTGACTCTAGTGCTGGGGAAACAGCAGGACCCTGGAACTCACTAACCAGCTAGACCTTCTGAATCAGTGAGCTCCAATTCCTCCTCACTCTCCCCAGGAATCCCCAACTCCTCCCTCCCTGATGCAATCTTGTGCAGGTAATCACAGCTGCAGTGCTACAGCCATGTCCTGTCCAGAAGACAGCCCTTCACAGCACCCTTCCTGATCCTCCAGCTCTTACATTCTTTCTACCCCTCTGCCTCAGCATTCCCTGAGCCTTGGAGGACAGGGTCAGGGGTGATGTAGATGTTCCATTTAGGAGCATTCAATAGACACTTACTCTCAGCACTCTGACCAGTAGTAAATCTCTGCATTAACTGTTAACCATTGCAGAGAGAACCTTCTCTGGCCAAAGCTGAGGGTAGCACTAAGCTATGGATATAAGCATAAATATTGAGAAGGCAGTTTTACAACATGTTGCTTAGTAAAACAATAGCAGTAGTTCCTCCCTAGGGAGGAACCTCCCAGGGTCTTAGGCTTTCAACCAGGTTTACAGTAGCAGGCCTAAATTCCTTCTTGTTCCTCAAATCCAATCCAAAAAGCAATTGGTTATCCCCATTACCTTTGTGCCACTATTGCACCAGTGGTCACATCTTGCCTGGCAGCCTATACTGCAAGGCTACCGTTAACATCTTTTTTTCCTGCAGCAGCCTGCATAGCACCTTCTAGCATTCTGAAAGCTAGTCAGCTGGAAATTTTCAGGTCAGTCCCAGCTTCATTTCTCAGTGTCCTGCAACCAAAGCGTGTTGAGTCTTCAGCAATAGAATTTTACCATCTAGTTCTGGTAGGCAATCAAGAGCAATGGTAATAGCCTGTGTTGTTTTGGGGGACTCTAGGCTTTGATGATCAACAACTTATAGGAAGGCCTGGTACTGAAATTTTCATTTAATAACCCATAAGATGTTTATTTCCCTCAGAAGGCTGGGGGAATCACTGTCCACCCATGCAAGGTATCTGTGTCCAAATTCTATATTTTTAATTTTTTTTAACTAGCTTAAAAGCAGTAAGTAGGCTTCCATAAGGGTTTTCATACATCCTTAGTTTTGGTTAATCCACCCACCCCATCTTCTCCCCCTGTAATTTTTAACTCCCATATCCGTACCTCTGTCTTCATATCATATATGTATTACTATCCCTTCTGCCCTGAAGACCCCATTCCCTCTCCCTCTCATGGGTCCTTTCTAGCTTCCTGTGCTCTACAGATACTCCAAATTAAAATCTAAAAATTTAGAGCTAGGATCCACATATGTGTGAGAACATGTAGTGTTTTATTGAGTTTGGGTCACCTTGGTATGATATTTTCCATTTCCATTTATTTTCTTAAAAAATTCACAATTTCATTTTTCTTTACAACTGAATAAAATTGTATTGTGTATATGTACCATACCATATTTTCATTATTCATTCATCATCTGATAGACATATAAGCTATTATATACATACATCCTAACTATTGTGAATATACCAGCAATTAAATAAATAAGGATAGCTTTGGCATATTTATTTGTTTATTCGTTGAGGCAAGGTCTCACTCTGTAGCCCAGGTTGACCTAGAATTCACTATGTAGCCACCAGGACCGTTCTTGAACTCATAGCAATCCTCCTGCCTCAGTCTGCTGAGGGATGGGATTAGAAGCATGAGCCACCAAGCCTGGCTCTAAATGAGGTATTTTAAAAATAAATGTATTTCTGCTTAATGTAACTTGTTTGTGTGTCCTAAACCAGAATTATATTTGTTTTCATATTCACAATACTGTATTTTTTAATATACTTATCTTTCTCCAGAATTTCTTGATGGAAAAGAAATTAAAAATCTAGAAAGACAATTCCTAATAAATTGGAAAGCATCTAAAGATGCCAAGAAAGTCAGCAAGAAAAGGAGCAATAAAAACAAGGATTTAAGCAACTCCTACATAAGTGAGTGCCGGTCACAACTGGTCACTTCTAGCAGAGGGCGTGGTCTAGCAAAAAACTGCTAGAAATAAGGGGTAGAGTGGTAAGGATTTTTGTTTTTAGGCTTTAAGAAATTTATTTGTTGTCAAGGTAAATACAATAAATTGTCAGTAATTTTGCCTATTATGAAAATAGTAACCTTTATGAACAAAACCTGTGCTTGGTTTACACTGGCTATGACTGTGTCAGTCACATAAGCATAGTCATGAAAGTGGGGGAAATGTGTTTTTTTTTTTTTTATTCCAGCAAAAGTGTACAACATCAATTACATAAGTGGTAAAACAGTCAGTCATATAAATGGTGAAACCTAAGTCATTAGTATGTTTAGCACTGGTACAAAAATCAAGACATTTTTCCATTTGGGATAAAAAGTAAAATTGGGCCAGGCATGGTGGCTTATATCTATAATTCCAGCATTCAAGAGGAGTGAGACAGGAGGATCACCATGAGTTCAAGAGCAGTCTGGGCAGTGGAATGAGGCAGTCTGAAAAACTCAAAATAATTACTAATTATTAAAATTAAATGTAAGTCAATCTCATCTGACCTACACTCTATAGCCTGCCCCCTTCTTATGCATACATGCCGAAACTTAAATATTTGGAGTATCATATACCCATGGTTTTGTTAGAAAGTGCACACTAGCTTCTTTTGCCTAACTAATGCAAGTAAGTAAGGATAATGGAACAGTTATCTCTGCCATGTTAGGGGTCCACTGGAACTGACCCCACAGATTCTGTGGTGCACAACACTGGAATGAGCCTCCTCTTTCCATGACAGTCTTTGAATGCTAGTGCTTTGCTCTACGCCTAACTTTACTTGGCATCTTTGGATGCAGGAGATGGAAGCATAGCAAGGGGGCTGTTAGGCCAGAGCAAAGGGAAATGGGCACTCGAGCGGGTGTATGAAGCTTTATGCAGAGATAGCATTAAGCTAGGAGTTCTGTCACTAAAAGAAGGCTGGGATGAGGAGTAGAGTGGAAAGGCATAGAGCTCTGTTGATCTTGCTGTATTATGTCCATTCAATATGACCTGCTGAAAATCATTTAGGAGACTTGGGACTTAGGAAAGTGTAGCAATGACTGATCCTGTAGTGGGAATTTGAATTTCTCATGGTCTGAAATCCTCCTTCTGGATGACTATGAAAGGCAGGACTAGACCCAGGATCAGAACTCCAGGGCTGTCACTCAGTATGGTGGTGGTGAACACTTGTATTCCTAGCTATTCAGGCAGCTTGAGGCCAACCTGGGAAACAGCCCATCTCAAAATGAAGAAAGTTCATTTTGTATGTTAGCTCAGTGGTAGAGCAATGTGTAGTATTGTAGGTTCAATCCGTAGTCTCTCTCTCTCTCTCTCTCTCTCTCTCTCTCTCTCTCTCTCCCTATTTTATGTACATTACACCAACGATTCAAAAACCCCTTACTAATACTGAAGTACCCACAGAATTCATCCAAAAGCTAAGATATTCTAAAAATAATATCATTTCTTTCATCTTAATAGATTTCAATTTTTTCCTAATCTACATTTAAATTAATTTTAACTTCCCCAGTGAAAATAATTAGGAAAGTAATAAAAATTACAATGTGCCCTACAATTTATAACTTTTGAAATTAATAACTTAATTTTCTCAAAGAAATCCTTATTAATGTCTTTATAATTAGTGGTTAATTAGAAAAAACAACTTTAAAATTTTGTATATACACTAACAAAGTATATGAAAAGGAACTTAGAAAAACTATCTCATTTACAATAGCACCAAAAAAGAATCAGACACTTGGGAATAAACTTAGTTAGGAAGATGAAAAGCCTATATTCTGAAAATTGTTAAGGAATAATAAATAAGATACAAATAGAAAGACATTCCATGTTTGTGAAGTGGAAGACAAAATTATTAAAATATCCATCTGACCTAAAGGGATCTACAAATTCAAAGCATTCCTTGTCTGAATCACAATGGCATTTCTTACAGAAATATAAAAATATTCTAAATTCATATGGAACCACAAAAATCACCAACAGACAAATCCAATTTGAGGAAGAAAAAGAAAGCTTGAAGTATCATAATTTTTTATTTCAAAATATATCACAAAGTTAAGTAATGAAAACAGTATGGAACTGATGTAAGGCAAACATGTAGAGTGGTGGGAGAGAGTGAATCCACAAGCATACAGTCAACTGACTTTGACAAAGGTGCCAAGAATACACAATGAGAAAAGGACAGTCTCTTCAACAGTTTTGGGAACATTACATAGCCACATTCAAATGAAAGTAAATTGGACCCTTATCCAAAAATATCAACTTAAAATGTATTAAAGATGCAATGACACAAAACTGTAAAACTCCTAGAAGAAAATATAGTGGAAAAGCTCCATGAAATTCATCTTGGCAATGACTTCATGGCCGTAACACTAAAAACATGGGCAGAAAAAGTAGAAATAATTCAGGCTAGCTCAAACTGAACAGTTTCTGTACAATAAAGGAAATAACCAAGTGAATATAGAATGTAAGAAAATTCTTCTAAACCATGCATTTGATGGACGTTAATATCTCCAAAATATATAAGAAATTCCTGCGACTCAATCTCAAAGAAGTCCTAATGATCTGATTTAAAAATAAACTAAGGAGCACTGAGAATGGTAACACACGCTTTTAATCCCAGCACTCAGGAGGTAGAGGTAGGTGGATGTGGTTTTTTTTTTTTTTTTTTTTTTTTAGTTCAAGGCCAGCCTGTTCTATAGAAGTTGTAAGCCAGCTGGGACTACAGGAAGACTCTGTCTCAAAAAAAAAAAAGGTTAAGTACTTGAGCAGACATTTCTCCAGAGACATAAAAATGGCTAGCATATAAAGTAGGTAAATGTGAAGGGATGAATCATGAAATGCCAATAAAAAACAACAGTGAGCTTTCACTCCACATTGGGTAGGGTTGCTTCTTTCGTTTCTCTTTCTTTTTCTTTCTTTCCCTCCCTCCCTCCCTTCCTTTCTATCCAGTCATGGTGGTGCACACCTGTAATCACAGCACTTAGGAGGTGGAGGCAAGAGAATCAGGAGTGCAAAACCAGCCTCAGCTACATAGGGCCAGCCTGGACTATATGACACTTTGTCTCAAACAAAACAAAACAGCAACAGGTGTTAGTAATGATGAGGAGTGTCTGCATTACCTTTCTTATTGCTATGATCAGAGTACCTGACAAGAAAACTTAAGGGAGGAAGGATTTGTTTTGGCTCATAACTTCCGAGGGCTGAGCTTATGGTTGCTTGGTCCATGGGCTTAAGCAGAGCATCAGGTCAGCAAAACATCTGCTACAGTTCTTTACTTCTTGGTGGACTGAAGGCAGAGAGAAGGGAATAAAGGAAGGAACCAGGGCAAGATAAAGCCACCAAGGACATGCTGCCAGTGACCTAATGCCTCTAGAGGGCCTTGCTTCCTATGTTCACCATTTCCCAATAATGCCATGAAATTACAAACATACCAAAGGATTAACCCATTCATTAGGTCAGAACTCTCATGATCTGATTGTTTCTGTAAACACCATCACAGACAGACCCAGACATGTCCTTCATTAATCACCATTTAACATTTCTTTTAAAAATTTATGTGTGTGTGCAGGTGCCCATGGAGGCCAGAAGAGGGTGTTGGATCCCTTAGAGCTAGAATTACAGGTGTCTGTGAGCTGTCCAACATGGGTGCTGGGATTTGAGCTCCAGTCCTCATGATTGAGCTTTTAACCTATGAGTCATCTCTCCAGCCCCTTTGCAGCCAATCCTTTATCCACTCAAGCTAACAATCAACATTAGGTATCACAAAGATAGAAATCTTTGTGCAACCTAATCTTTTACATGCCTTAATATATTTTTTATTTATATGTTGGTAGAATTCTAATTTCGGGGCACTGACCTAGATATTATAGTAAAATTACATGGATTCTAACTTTAACTTCAAGGATCTTTCAATAAAAAATTACCCTACATATAACCATGTAACTCAAAATTGGAAATATAATAAGATCCAAAATGAAAGAAAATCTTTTATTATTAGCACATGGAAACTAATGTATTCATTTAACAAAGAAGGGGCTGGAGAGATGGCTCAGTGGTTAAGAGCACTGGCTGCTCTTACAGAGGACCCAGGTTTGATTCCCAGCACCCACATGGCAACTAACAACTGTCTATAACTCCAGTTCCAGGGGAAGCCAATGCTCTCTTCTGACTTCTATGGGCACTGTATGACATGGGTGCACTTACATACATACAGGCAATACCCTCATACACATGAAATAAATAAAAATAACAAAATATTTTTAAAAAATTTAACAGAGATATGCTCAAGGCAGCTCAGCATGAGACCCTGGGTTTAACCCTAGCACCAGAAAAACTTTGAATACCCATAGGACTATTCAAGGCAGTGAAGACAGCACTGCTGGAAAACAGGCAAATCATATGGAATGTTAATTGCCCAACTAAATGTATGAACGCATCCCAACAAGTATACGTGACTAATCTACACCGTAAAGGTTACTTTGAAAAAAATAAATTACCTCAGGCAAGCAAAATTTAATTCAACTAATGTTTATAATAATGTTAGCATACCCAATTCTCTGTAAGAATTAACTATAAAGTTTCCTGTACAGGTTTTTAATATATAAAAGTGTGATATTTATCTTGGATATTCATTTATTATTGATTTTTTTGGGATCTACTTATCTTTGTTTAATTCTTTTCATAAAAAATAGTTTAAGATAATAATATATGTCCTTTTGACAATTTAGTTACTAGTTTCAAAGAAGGTTGCTTTTAATTTTTTGTATGCTGCAGGTAAATTTGAAACAGTGCATCACATAGTTCCTGTTTATTACCCACAGGTGGGTAAGTCAAAAGTAGTCTTTTTCTCTGATGTACAGAGATCTCTTGCAAGTGGGAATGCAGCTACAGAAAGCTCTCAAGAAGATAAAACTGAAATTATTGAAGACATGGGGTAGGTTCTTTCAAATATTTGTATGATTTTCCTTTTTTAGAGGAATGGAACCCTCTTACTGTCAACACAGATGAAGAGAGGCCCTCTTAGTTCTGTGTTCTCAAACCTCTCTGTCTCTACCTCTGTTTCTCTGACTCTGTCTCTCTGTCTCTCTCTCTTCTCTCTGTCTCTGTCTCTCTCTCTCTACACACACACACACACACGGTTTGCTGTTGTCTTTTAAGCAGTCATAAAGCTGCAATGGCAAGGGCTGGCTCTGGGAGACAGGAGTTAAACTAGATGCCCTCACTGAAGTAGAGATAAGGCATGTAGCTCAGGAAATTCCTGAAAATGTGGATAAAGATGTCTAAATGACCATCACATGGAAGCTGTGGCCCCAGTTGATGATGGGCCCCAGTGACAGGGAGTGAAAGACGAGAGTGTGGCCGCAGTAGGGCACATGGTCTAGAAAGGAGGAGCCCAGAGGAGGAGGTAGACTGCTTTCACACTTCTCTAAGCCAAAGTTCTGAACCTGCTCTCTCTGAAGGAGACATTTGAAGCATCGCTCTGTCTCAGAGGAATTTATACCGAAAAACAAGCAAACAAACAAACCCAACCAGCTTAATGGTTACAATTCCAAGCCTTGAATCAATACCTAATCTAGTTCTATATAAAACAGTTCTAAACCTTCTAAATGAGCAAACAATTGCTTTGGTTTCAAAAATGATGACATTATTTCCATTGAAAGATTCACTATTTCAGAAAATAACCTCCTTTATTCTAAATAGACCTTCCCACCCTTCAAGCAGCATTATACAAAAATGCAAATGAGAACTGGGTATGAGGAGGCATGACTACAATCTCAACATGCTGGAGGTGTTCAGGGTTGTCCTCAACCACACAGCAAGTTCAAGGCCAGCCTGGCTAAGACACCCTGTCTCAAAACAATCAAAAATTCAAATAAGACAATCTTAATCCCAAGTACCTTGCAACACTCTGTGTGGGGAGCCAAAGCTGAAATAATCGCTGTATTCTTTGGAAATGTCATGAGCATTATAAACCGCTCCCTAATGTTGTCTATAAATTTTTATTCAAACTGGTTTTTAAAAATTTTATTGTGAATTTCCTTTTTATTTTTTTCAGCAGTATTGAGAATGAACTTAGGGCCTCATGTGAGTCAAGCACTTTACCACTGAGCTACAGCCCCAGCCCTTTTCTGCATTCATAATCAATCCAATGAATGTTCTATTGATCTTTCCAATCATACAGTGTTGTTCATCACAATATAACAAAGGCTAACACATATTTCATTGAGAAAGTAATCAGAGCCAGTGGATGTACTCTGTAATAGAATTCATCTTCCCAGAACTACCTGCTGAAGGTCAGATGGGTCTGCCATGAGATACTCTTTTCAGGTCTAGTGATGTAACATTGCTAGTGGAGTCCACTAGAAGAAGCCCTGTGAACAATATGGGTGCCCAGTCCTCTCCCTATCCCCACAGAGCAGCTTGAGATAGCTATGGTGCAGGCTTATGGTCCTGAGTCTTTATCTGAGGAAAAGAGAGACTATGAAGGGGGTTCTGGTTTGGGTCTTGCCTCTTCTCCATTCACAATACAATGGGAGTTGTGTAAGGATTCGCTTTACTGCTTGCACACAGCATGCTTCATCATTGCCTTCAAAATCAGAGCCAATTTTCCCATAGCATCCCAACAGTTTCTTAAAGATATACACACTGATATCAATTCTGTAGCAGTGTTCTTGAGATTTTGTTTCTTTGCCAAACACTTTGAAAAGTACTGCTGGTATATCATAAGGTGGATATAATACATCCAATAAAACAATGAAAATACACACAGCCTCAGAAAACAAAGTTGGTGAATTCTATACATTGCCAACACATGCTAATTACATCAGTCGTGAGCTGTGGCACACAGCAGACATTCTGCATCCCTGTGGAAAGCCCAGGAGTACACAGATGAAACGGCCAATAAATCACTCTCCTCGTCCTCATAGGACCACAGAACCAAATGCCTTTTTAAAGAATAAACTAGCCTTGTGCTGAAATGATAGGGTGCCCTAAACAGTCCACAGAACTAGAGGTGCTACCATGAGAAGCACATCCACACCCCATTTCTGCCGCTGTGTGACACTGAGGATACTCAATTTTGAGGTTACAGTTTCATCCTGTGAAAAAAATTCCATATTTTCTTTTTAAATGTTTATTATTTCCTTAGGTAGCATTTTCTCTGGAAGCATGGCAAACATTGCCAACATTTATACTGTATTTAACATTCAAGACGAGAGGCCTACAGAGAGTCATGCTTCGGTGGCTCAGAAGTCTGATTAGATGGGGATATTAGTTGTGTCCCTTTTAATAAAAGGTGACCAAGCACATTATGGAACTTCCTCAAGTTTTTGATACAGTTTTAGAGTGTGCCCATTGCTAGCATTTTAGTAACTTGGGTCTTCTATTTGCTCACATTGGCTACTTTTCATTTTTATGTTTTTGTATAGTGAATCATGTATTTTCCATTGAAAATTGAGACATCCCACATGTATAAGGCATAAGACTTACATACAGCTTGACACTTTTGCCTGTGAATGCAGCCATGCAAACCTTGTAATTTAGCTTAAAACTAGGCAACAATGCTATTAAAGTTGGAAGATTGAAAGATATTGAAAACAAAATATTTAATAAATATTATTCCTTGGGGATGGAGTATAGCTTAATGATAGAGAGTGCTTGCCTGGCATGTTGAGTTCAATCCCCATGTCCACCAAGCAAAAGAAACAAACAAAAACCCTGAACACACAGAGAACAGGTTTTAAATTTCTAGAAAATAATTATTTTGAAGGTAAGAATGAACTGGCATCTGCAATAAAGTTTTGCTGCATTTAACATGCCCGGCGAGAGGCCTGAAGAGAGGTGGATGAGAGTGCATGTTCCATAAGCAAAGTGTCTGTTTGCACACTCCTTGAGGTGCTAGACACCAGAGGCAACATCTGTCCAAAGACGAGAATGTTTTCCCCGTCTTTTATAAATGCATGCAGTCTACATGTGTATATTTACATAAGCCTGCTTTCCCTACAGGGAGGAAAAAGTCAGACTCATTGACGTTGTTTGTGACCCTCAAACTGAACTTGATACTATCAATGTACACTTTAATTAAAGATTAGGTCTAAACTATTTCTTATTTAAAGACTGAGTCTGAACAAATGCCTTCACTGTTCAATTAAAAATAATGTATGGTATTAAGCAAGTAAAAACGGCTCACATTATTGCTTCTTTCTGTATTTGTCACAGTAAGCACTTCTGACAGATGTTTCCTCTCTTTTCAAATCTGCTAGGAGGTACTTGGACCTTAGTAATTTAAAAATAGATGTTAAATACATTTATGTTGCATATGAGATCCACTGAGAATATAGCACTGTACCACGGAGAAAGCACATTGTTACTTGATTGCTTAACTATCTTCCGAGCCCAAGAAATGCTGATACGAATAGATCTACATCTTTTGTTACTTTAAAAATCATTTTCTGGTGTTAAAAGAGTCTTGTTTTCAGATACCTTTAAGGAATTTGGATCCCTAGGACTCACAATTCACAGGAAATGTTCACTCTGTTATTTATTTCTGAAATACTTGGTATCTTTTGCTAAACTATAGGAAGACTGAGGGTTCTTCGAATTGAAAGTGGACTGTAATAGTTAAAATAACTTGCTTTCACCACTGCAAAGGTTATGTTTAAACAGTTGTAATAACACATCTATGTGTTTCAAAAAGAAATTTACAAACTCAGATAATACTTTATCACAAAACTCTAGGATGTTCTTATATAAACTTACTTGCAAAGTTCAAAATGTTTTTAATTTTGCTTTGCTTAAACCTTACCTCAGTATATTTAATTGTACTTGCAAAATAAACTTTGTGTGAATCAGTAATGTAGATAAAACGTTAACATTTTTATTTGCAGTACTCAAAGAACTCTTGAAATTAAGATACAGCCCCCAAAAGCAATACTGGAAAGCAACAGAAAAATTTTCTGTTAAAACAGTTTTTTGAATTCTCTTTTCAATTCTGTCAATGGCTTACTCTGTGAACAAGAGTTATGTAAGGCCTAACAAAATAACTTTTAGCTGCTTTTTAAAATTCTGATACTTTGAAATCTAAATCTTTATTACCCAAGCAATTTTTAAAAACAAAAAAGAATATTCTCAACCCCATTTTACTACAGATGGGAAAATGAGGCTTGGAGAAGCACATTCCCCGGAAGCCAGATCACTGACTCCAGTAGCCAAGCTCTGACTTAACAGAGAAGGCATCTCAGACGTGTTCCCAGGTCCAGGAAGGTACTGTAAGGAAAGCAGTGAGTTAGTGAATGAGGTGGACTGACAGCATATCCTGTCCAGCTAAAGACAGCTGCAGCTGCTCAGTTCAAGGACAATGTGGGCTGGGACATGAACTTGAGAAATCAGACTAGCTGGCAAGCATAATACCTAGGCTGTAAAATCGTTTGAGATAGTGACTCAATCTTTGTCTTAAAAAATAATGTATTAGAGAGGCTAGGAAGCTGGCTTAGTAAAGTACATGTCTTGTAAGCACACGGACCTGAATTCAGATCCCTAGCACCCACATATCTCCCAGCACAGCACTAGTAGGTGGAGATAAGAGGGATCCCTGGAGCTCACAGGTCAGCCAACGGAGCCAAATTTTTGATCTCTAGGTTCAGTGAAGGAAAAAAGAGTTGGAAGGAAACTGAGGAAGATACCCAACATTGACCTCTGGCTACCATATGCACCTGGACACATATGTATGCATACCCACATGAACACAGTACATCATATTACATATAATACACACACACAAATGAAAATGATGTATTAGAATGGATAAGAAGAAAATTTTAAACTGTGTCTTATCACAGTGATTAGGATATGGAGTAACTGGAACTCTCATGCAATATTGATGGGAATGCAAAATTAAGGAAGTCATTTAGCACAGTAGTTTGATGTGTTATAACAGTAAATGCACATGTACTACATCTAGAAGTCCAATGCCTAGTAATTTTCCAAAGTGAAATGAAAAAAAATCTATACTCATGAAAAACTATGTTTATAATGGTCTAGTTGTAATCATTAAAAATTTAAAACAACCAATTATATCTCAGCTGGGAGATGGATAAACTATATGCTATAGAATACTTCTCAGCGATGAAAATGAATGAACCACTAACAACATGAATGGATCTCAAAAGCATTGTTACGTGAAAAGTGTCATATATTAGCAAGCAACATACTTATATGCTTCTGTTTATATGACATTCTGGGAAAGGCAAATCCATAGAGACAGAACAGATCAGGAGTTGCCAAAACTGGGAGGTGGGAGAAAGGTTTCACTACAAAGAGGGAATTCTAAAGGAGGATGGAGGTATTCTGTATCTTCATTGTGGTGGTGGTTACAAAACTGCATACATTTATCCAAACTTGCTGAATAATATACACAGAAGGGCAAATTTAACTATGCAAATCATACCTTAATTTAAATCATAAGGGACATAGGTGAAAGGTGAAGAAAACCAATTGCTTTATACACATATAAAATATCTACAGTATAAAATGCCTAAACATTTTATCCTCTGCTATGTGATATTTGCTTTTTGGCTTGCATTATAAAGACAATATTAACATTACGATTTGCCATATTTTTTAAAAGACAAGAGTAATTCTTAGATGTATACCATACTTACTGAATAAAATCTGCATTCTAAAGTCATACTTTTGTAAAGACTAGACTACTAAGAACTTCAAAGAAAGATGCATTATGAACATAGAAATTGAGTTGTTAATAAGGCTAAACTAAAGCATGCACTTTAGTAATAGATTCAAAAACTGTTTTGCAAATTATAAAATACAAAAACTAAACAGACTAGTCTGGCAAAACATAAGTTAGGGACGATCTACTTGGCTTGAACCCGATGCCAGCTATTTACTAGGTGACATTAGACAAATTGCCTAATCCCTGTGAGCTCGATTTTTTTCCAACTATAAAATGTAAATCCTCAGTTTTTGTTAATGAATGAGAAAAAGGCTATAGCAGCATCTGTTATTATTTGTGCGTAATAGTGGAGTTTTAGAATTGCCCCCCCCCCTTTTGGTCTTTTTGAGAAAGGGGCTCCCTGTAGCTCCAGCTGTCCTGGAACTCACTATGTAGACCAGGCTGGCCTCGAACTCATAAAGATCCGCCTGCCTCTGCCTCCCAAGTGCTGGGATTAAAGGCATGCTCCACCACACCCGGCTGGATTGTCCCACTTTTAAATGGACTAAAAATACTGGTCCTTTCTGGAATTCAGAATTACGCTGACTAGGGTAGCAAAGGAGGACAGAAAAGAGTGGCCTGCAGTGGTCGTTTTCTGAACAGTCTGTCATCTCACTGCTGGGCGACAGGGCTGGCTACTGCGCAGGCACTGCCGGAAGTAAAGAGCCTTTATCTCTCCCGGTGACCCACAGCAACAGAAGATACTGGCAGAGTAGGTTAGGCCGAGGCCTTAGGGTTTAAGGCCCTCCAGGCACCTTGACTGCCTGTGTCGCCATGGTCCCAGCCCACCTTACCGCCATCATTGTTTCCATGTCTCCCAAAGCCGGAGAAAGACAGAGCAGATGCACAATGTTTGTTGACTTAACATCTGCCTTTACTATGGTCAATGTGTCCTGGGGTCTGTTTACCGTCTTTTAAAGATATTTCAAGTTAATTAAATGCTGGTTTGTTTGTTTAACAGGAATCTCTCCTTGAAGGAATCCAAAAGCTCACTAACAAAAAAATGATATTATGTCAACCCCAGCTTCTCTAAATCCCAAAACTAAAAGAAAATTTGTTTGAGAGAAAGTAGTAAATTCAGCCTTGCGTGATCTGATTTCTTCATAGAAGTAGGCAACATCTTTTGAGGGTTTTAGAATTATGTCATCTCCGGGTGTAAGAGTCTTCGTTTTTTCCTTATAAAATTTACTTGTCTTTCCGCGTGTGAATTCTGGGATTTGGTTTATTAGCCGTTACATACAATTTACCAGGAAATAAAAATGTGCTTTCTTATCCCACAAGAAATCTTGTATCAATGGAAGTTAGCCGTGCTTCCAAAGCGTAAAGCCTCTTGGCGTTATGGAAGGAGCTCGGAGCAGTTGTAAGGTTCCACCGACTTGACTAACAAATGCCGAGCACGCTGCGGTCTGGGTCACCGGGCTAAGTGCCAGCATTACTATCTAGAGCTTGATAATTCCAATTTGGAAAGTTCGTAATTGATTGGAAAACGCACAAGAATGCATGAGAGAGCGGGTTCTTCGGTGACATTTTATATTTGGCACTCCGCTTTGGCTCCTAAGGGAGGAAAATGCCCCGTTGCTCCCTGATGGAGCTCCAGGCTCGGGTGGTTGCCGGCAGCAGAGCGCTGGGCTCCGACTTCCTCGCGCGGGTGCTCCGGGCGGGCGCGGGCAGGTCTCCGGCCGCCAGGACCCCGCGAGGGCGCTGCGGGAGGGCGCAGGAGGGTCTCAGGCCGCCAGGTCCCCGAGGGCTCTGCGGGCGGGCGCGCAGGTGTGTAGCCAGGAAGGAGCCTCAGGTCAAATAGTGAACCCCAGAAGCCGTGGCCTCGGGTAACGGAGCGTCCCGGGACGATGGCCCGGGACCTCCTAAAGTGTGGCCAAGGGGACGTTGGGGGTCTGTAGTAAGTCACCAGGAAGCCAGAACGTTTACTGTGTAGGGTAAAAGGCAGGCAGGCGAACTGGACGGTTCCCCACAGGGTTAGAATCCACGCTGCCCCATGCAGCCGCGTTCGGGCTCCTCCGCATCCTCTGGCCTGGAACCCCGTGGGGGGCGGGGTCAGACATCCACCCGCCCACAGGCGGTTTGATTGATAGCTCTTCGCCGAGGGGGCGGCCCCGTAGCACCCGCGCCCCCAACCTAACGGCTCCGGTGGGCGCACATCCTCAGCTTCAGTGTTTCCCGGCCCCGGCGTGCACGCTGGCCTCGTGGGGCGGGGGGAAGCCCGCATAAAACGTGCGAGCGGCAGAAGCTGCTGAGGATAGAGTGCCTGGCCCACTGAGGCCACGCACACCCTGCTCGACGCCCGGAGCCTAGCACAGCCGCTGCCGGAAAGGTGAGCGTCCGCGTGGGCGAGTCCCCGTGCGAGGAGAGGAGAGCGAGGCCGGGTTCCCGAGGTGAGGGCAGAGGCCAGGTCTGCACCTGGGTCACAGAAGGGCTGGGTGTGCCCTGCGTCACTTGCCCCTCGGGGCTGACGGAATGCAGGTTGTGTGGTGGAGCGGCCTGGAGGTGTCGGGAGAAAAGAAGGCCCCGGCTCCCTCCCGGGGTGGCCGGCACGTGGAGATCCGCCCCTTCCTCCGCAGGGGCGGCCGGCGGGCGCGGGGACTCCAGGAGGAAGCCTGGGCGCTCCCGGGTCTCACGGCGCCTTCGCCCCTTTGCAGCGCGCGTGGCCCGAGCCCCATGGAGCGCGGTCGTCCCGCCAGAAGCGCCGAGCCCGCCGCACCCCGCGACCTGAGCCCCGGGCGCACCCCAGGGCAGGGGGGCCCCGGCGGCGTGGCGACGCGCTCCGGGAGTGGCCGGCCGGCTGCTGCGAACGCTGCGCGGGAGCGAAGCCGGGTGCAGACCCTGCGGCACGCCTTCCTGGAGCTGCAGCGCACACTGCCTTCCGTACCCCCCGACACCAAGCTGTCCAAGCTGGACGTGCTGCTGCTGGCCACCACCTACATCGCGCACCTCACCCGCAGCCTGCAGGACGCCGACGCGCCCGCGGACCCAGGCCTGGGCGCCCTGCGAGGCGATGGCTACCTGCACCCGGTTAAGGTAGGTGAGCGCGCTTCCGCCCGAGCCGCTGGACCTGTAGCTGCCTGGGCTGGCGGGTGCTGGTGACACCGCCCCACCCCAACAGGATGCTTATAAGGCTCTGGGCCCAGGAACCTGAAGCTTCACCCCGGCGGGCTTCGCCTTCGTCGCACCTGCCCCGACAGCACGGCGCGCTCCAGGGTTTTGTTCTCACGGTGAGAACTGGGGGAGCCACGTGTACATGTCCCTCCAGAGTCCAGTTCTAAACGTCCCAGTGTGTTTTCCATGGGCTGTTTCAAAGGTTACATGAATTAAATGGACCTCTCTGCTCCTAAAGTCATCCTAGGGAGAAAAAAAAAAGCTAAATTTAGTAAAAACAAGTGGGACCATTCTACATCCGCCATAAAATAACATTTTTATCCAGGTTAAATATTGTGGACCAGACGGCTACCAAGAACGTTAAGAAAAACATAATGTCTTTCTCATTGTTACAGTAGACTTGCACGTATGGTGAGTATTTAAATTAACCAAGAGAAACTATTTTGCATCATTTCTTTACTTGTAGGTAAAATGCTCATGATTTTCATCTAATATGCCATAGATGGTATATGAATTCCTATTACAGATGGTTTATTATCTGTAGTGCCATGGTCTGCATCATCCCTTTTGTCTAGATTTCTTTTGAAAACTTGGACTGATCTGACTTTCTATTCAAAATGCATAATCTCTGGATTTGCTAAATTTAAATTTTCACATTTTTTTGTTTCACCATTCTGAAATATTTAAACACACATACAGTTAGGACTTTATTGTAAGTATCTTGGTGTTCAGCAAATTATTGAATAACAAAAACTGAGTAATACAATCTCTTTCAAGGATGAGACTCTTGGTAGATTAACCATGCTCCAGTGGATGGACCCTTACTGAAGGACATTTGGGGACACAAATTAGATTCTGTATATATGCATATTCATATATGAGTACATTAAATTGGGCGGGGGCAGTAATGGGAGGTGCAGATAGCGGAGAGGCTCTACGTACCATCAAATTATATTGTATGAAAATCGCAAAAATTTAATAAAAAGTGCAGATTGCAAAGAAAACTGAGAAATCATTGTTAAAATGTAATAAAGTATGTATCCTAACATTAACTGTACTTATATATTACAGAGTGAGGTTTAATAAAACTTATTTTGTAAATATAATCAATATGACAATAGACTTAAAGCAGTTCAAATGATAAATATTAAACTGTGAAATGGTTATAATAATGATAGAATTCATTCTGTTCTTGAGCATTTAAACATAATAGCTGAAAAGTCACTTATTTTAATTAGGAATTTTGTGTTACAGTATGAATTAGATTGCTATTCAAATATCCCATTAATGTAGATTTCTTTTGACTTGACGTTTGCCCTATATTCTAAGAAAGTTTACTTTAACACTAAGAAGATTACCATACCAAAAGCATAAGTTCAACTCCACCCCCCCATGAGATCTAGTCTTTCACCTTAGTTTCACATAATGCTTTCTTTCTTTTTTTTTTCCTTCTTTTTCCTTTGACAGGGTCTCCCTAGTGCCAGCCTACCTGGAACTCTGTGTGGACCAGGCTAGCCTCAATCTCACAGAGATCCCCCTGCCTCTACCTCCCAAGGGCTGGGGTTAAAGGTGTATGCCACCACACCCGGCATTCATGTTATGTTTTCTTGAATGGAAATGTTAAAGGCAGCAGTGTTAGTAAGAAATAAGCATAGCAAGCTAGTTTTTTACTTGATTCATGCACCAAGTGTTTTTATAGTCATAACTATTTAAAGTAAATCCCATTTGCTACCTAGTTTTAAAAGACAAACTCTATAATCTCTGTATTTGTTAAATCTAGACATAATAATAAAAGGCCAAAGATTATCCCATAAAAATGAAATTGATGATGGTTAAATAGTGACTAAGCTGTTTAAATATTAAACATTTGAGTTAGTACTGTGTACAAATAACTGCTTTAGGACAGACAGTAAACACAGCTGTAAATAAGACTCAGTCCCTGGCCTGCATGAACACATTCTAGACCTGAAAACAAAAATATAAATCATAGTATAGTACTGTAAAGGAGAAAAAAATGTTTGTTGAAAAACCACTATAGGGGGCTAGAGAGATGGCTCAGGGGTTAAGAGCACTGGCTAGTCTTGCAGAGGACCCAGGTTCGAATCCCAGTACCCACATGGCGGCTAACAATCGTTGGTAACTCTAGTTTCAGGTGATCTGACATTCCCGTCTGACCTCTACAGACATTGCATGGCATGAGTGTACTTACATGCATGCAGGCAATATGCTTGTACACATAATAAAAATAATTAAAAATTAAAAAAAGAAAAAACACTAAAAACCACATGCTGTGGTTTCAGAAGATAGACTTTACATAATGAATTGAAATTTCCTGTTAAGATTTAACTGTTAAATTTATCTTTAATGCGAAAGGAATAAGAATACTCTGATAATTTTTACTTTTTGGTTAACTGTAGACTCATTATAAACTCATAGATGTCCCTTAGTGTGTATTCTAAAATTACTAATTTTCTGTCTTATAGCATAATGTTGCTAAGTCCTATATAAATGATCAAAGATACTTTAGTAAATATTCCAATTCTGTGATTTTTGAATCATTAGTCTTTTACAGATATTATGAGTGTATTTGAATTGTTGGGAACTTTAGAGTATCTCAAATGAGGAAGGGAGATACATTCAGTGGTAGAGCTCATAGTTAGCATTTGCAAGGCCCTGGATTCCATCCACGGTGCACAGACATGGTGTCTTTAAACTGGAAGAAAGGTTTAAGAGATCCAACTCATGCAGTGGGGCCTAACCAACCCCATTTTTATCTTGTTGGGAATGAACAGTTTCAGTCAGCACCAGTGGCCTGAAGGGACATTCAAAACAGGGTGTCTTTCAGACCTTTAACTTTGGGAGAAAAATCCAGATGACTTTATTAATTGCCAAACTCCCCAAGAATCATTTTTCATAATACAGATAAGCAAGAATTTAAAAAAAGACAGGATTTTGTTGTTGCTGCTGCTGCTGTTGTTGTTGTTTTGGGGGGGGCGGTTGTTTAATTAGAATAGACCTTTTTTAAGGTCTTTAATTTCAGGCTCAGTTCTTGTTAATTGCTAGATTTTTAATTTAAATGA